TCTTTTAGATATAGAGAAGGTATTGTCAAAGTTCAGTTATTGGAGACTTAGCCAGAATTATTCGTGGCCATGGGGATGTTAGGACATGGAGGGTTTATGAGAGGCAAAAGGTGAGGAAGAGTACTTAACGGTAAACAGTTAAGTGGGGCGGGAAAAAGGTCTCTATAAAAAGACCTTTGTTATTGTTTTCAAGGAGGCAGTTTTTACTCTTGAGTTGCAGACCAGTTTAGACTTGGTGAAGGAGGTTAAGCTCCTGGTTACCCAATTCTTGATTCTTTGATGTGAATACGAGTCTTTTCTTTTACAATTGCTTGTTGTTAGAGTACTGATGTGTGAGAGTAAGGGAGATAGTTAGGATTCTTACCAAGGTTCCTAACAAAGTGGTCCGACCTGCCGGATCCAAATCGGAGAGAGAACGCGATGGAAGGGAAGCTACATGCGCTAGAGAACAGAATTGAAGAAAAAATGAACGTAGCTGAAGGACGAATGGAACGCCTGGAGATGGCAGTAGACGGGTTGAAGGCGGAATCAGCGGCAAACCGACAAGACTCGATCGCAATGCATAAAGACATCCAAGAACTGTTACGATTGATGGGTGTGCGAAGCAAGCCAAACGGGGAGAGCTCAGACGGGAGCCATGGTTCAGTCAATGATAATGGGGGTAGCCGGCGCGATGAAGCCGAAGGAGAAAGAGAAGGGGAATGATCAGAGAACCAACCCAATTGGAGGCGACAGGTGGAGTTACCCACATTTGAAGGAGCCGATCCTTTGAATTAGATTAATATGGCCGAAAAGTTCTGAGATACAAAAGGTGGCAGAGGCGGAGAAGATCGAACTGGCTCACATCAGTATGGAGGGAAGCACCGGTTATTGGTTTACATTTTGGAAGGAAAAGGCAAGCGACCGATCATGGGAGGGGCTCAAGGAAGCGTTGTTGATCAGATTCGAGAGTCGCTATCGGGGCGGCATTTTTGAGAGGATGGCGGCCAGTAAGCAGTCGGGAACCGCGGAAGAATACTTCCCAGCATCGAACGTGAACGATCGTACAGTCAAAACGGTCTACCAGTCATTGGTCGAGCAGTTCGAGGCCATAGAAGACCAGTCGTCTTGGAGACGAACAAGCGGTGAGGTGACACGGTCCGAGGCCGATCGCTATAACCCATGCCGATCGGGAGTTGCCGAGTGGTCCGAGTCCAATCACCCAGGCCGATCGGGAGTCGCCAAGTGTGTGGGGTCAGTTTGGAATATGCACGGTCTTCCAGGGAACCGAACGGTATTGGTCATTAAAGAACGAACGGTTGCATGCAGGGGGGAGGAGCCGAACGGCATAAAGATATGGAGAAGAGAACCGCACGGCAGTGGACTGTTGGATCCGAACGCGAGAAGACGACCGGAACTGAACGTGAGGGAACTGCTGGAACCGAACAGTCGAGGACTGCCAGAACCGAACGGGAGAGGACGTCGGGAAGCGAACGTGAGAGGATTGCCGGATCCGCACGAGAGAGGATTGCCGGACCCGAATGGAAGAGGACGGGAGGAACTGAACGTTCGTAAAGCTACAATAAAAGGCCGAACGGTTTTACACTCAAAACGGTCTCCTAGTCATTGGCCAAACGGTCTTACAATTACATTCAAAGGCCAAACGGTCTTACAGTCCAAACAGCCTCTCAGTAATTGGCCGAACGGGCTTACCATTAGAATGAAGGATGAGGAGGGAAAGGTGGATGGAAGAATCAATGCCTGGGAGAGAAGGACAGACTTTGTGAAGAGGTGGACCAGCGAACAAAAGAAGAGTCTTGCCGTTCGTGAGGCACCTGCATAGGGGAGAGAACTTTTTGAAGCTTTGAAAGACATCGAAGACCATTTCCTCACGGCTTATAATTCTGGAAATGAGGTGACCAGAATGCTGGAAGCTAATAAAATCCAAGAAGGATGGAAGTTATTGGAGGAGGAATTGCCACCACACAAACCTGCAGACCTGAATTGGAGGGCAGTTGCCAAAGGATTCCATTCATATGAGTACACGATGATGAAGCGGAGCAAGGAGATCAAATCTCACGTTTCCAACCTTGAGGACAAGGTTGATCTTCAAGGGGGGGAGTAATGTTAGGACATGGAGGGTTTATGAGAGGCGAAAGGTGAGGAAGAGTACTTAACGGTAAACAGTTAAGTGGGGCGGGAAAAAGGTCTCTATAAAAGGACCTTTGTTATTGTTTTCGGGGAGGCAGTTTTTACTCTTGAGTTGCAGACCAATTTAGACATGGTGAAGGAGGTTAAGCTCCTGGTTACCCAATTGTATTCTTGATTCTTTGATGTGAATACGAGTCTTTTCTTTTACAATTGCTTGCTGTTAGAGTACTGACGTGTGAGAGTAAGGGAAATAGTTAGGATTCTTACCCAGGTTCCTAACAGGGACTTCAGTGGATTTGTTCAAAATAACGACCAAAGTGATTCATAACCAGAGAGGAGGTTTTGCACACCAACTTGAACTACTGAGAATCTTGTGATTACTTGAGAGAGTTGCTCTGAGCTCTTCTGAATTTATATTGAAGCAGGGGAATTCAAATTTGATGACAAATCTAATCCCTAGTAAAATATATGATAGATTTCTTTGGTAAAGAAATCAATCTATCACTCAAAACAACACACACAAAAGAATACTGGAAAACAAGACTGTATTATTCTTGTGATCAAAGAGTACAAAAGTATAGTTCAAACTCTCAAGGGAACACTTTCCCTCCACAGGAAACAACTCCTGTTTATATAAAGAATTTACCAAAAGCTCCCCTCACACAAGACTTTCTTGCCTTCTTATAAAGGCCCCCCAACCAACTAACAATTAATTCCTAATATGTTTCCTTCTCTCCTGCCCACATTATATCCTATCACCTTATATCCTATCATTACACCCCACAGCAGAACAACCTTGTCCTCAAGGTTGGAACCATGAAACTTGATCTCATGGCTCATCTTCATCAACGTCTTATCATATGAATGAAACCCACTGCCTACTGCTTGCAATTTTAGATCTGGAGGCTTGGGTGGTGGTCGATATGAGAGTGGTTTTTGCATACCAAATTCTGAACCCAGTAATTTGGAATCCCAAAATTCCAATGTCATTGACTGTTGCTTGGTTGCATCTCCACCTTCAACTCTCTTTTTTGTTGCATCCCCTTCCTCCTCCATCATACTATATTTTTGTGTTCCAAATCTCCCTTCTTTTTGGATTTTTCCTTCCCTATAGAGAGTGTGATTCTTCATTGTTGGCCTTTCTCCCACAATTAGAGTACTTTGTGAATCTCTAATCAAGTTGTTTAGATACTGTTGTGGCAACCAATTGTGAATGTTAGATTGCAGCCCTTCAAAGAAAAATCCCTGCAATTGATCTTCTGGTGTTTGATTTGCTTGTGACACCAATATCTTGAATTCTTGGATGAATTTTTCCCCACTCCCAGACCACATTACTGCTGCCAAACACTCAAGTAAAACTCTCCGTGCATTTTCCCCTATCTCCTCAAGAATGTCAATATCTTTATGGATATAGAGAATATCCATATCCCATAAACCATCATGTTGTGTATTATTACTAGGCAGCACATTAATAGCATAATAAAATTCACCCCTATTGTTTTTTCCTCCTTCAAAATCTTGAATGCAATCTTCCACCCTTTCTTGTTTAATTGTTGCCCATTTTCCAACAATGGCACTCTGTTTTCTACCCCCAAACTTTTCAAAAGTGGTGCTGCATTCACTGCCCCTGCAACTCTTACAAAGGCCTTTTGGAAGATCTTCCCAAGAAAGGTTCTTGGATTTTTGTTGCCAGGTCTTGAACCCTTGGACTGCATTTTCTTCCATGTTATTGACTGTTGCGTGTACCTTTGTTGATCCTTTGATGTTCTGAACTTCAAAAACATCTGTTGCCCTTGTTGTTTGACCCTGGGCCATGCCCTTCAAATGTGGACAACTCCACTCCTTCAACCAACGGGAAAAGTGGTTCTTCATCTGGTTTACTGCTCTGTGGATATCTTTCTTTCTTCTTCTCTTCATCATTAGCCAAGTACTCTCCTTCTTCAGAGAATTTCTTGCCTTTCTTGATGTTTTCCAGACTGTCTTTTTTATTTTCCTTTCTTTTTTTTCCTCTTTCTTTCCTTTCATGATTGATTTCTCACTTCTTTCTAAACTCCTGTCCTGGTTCCTAGTTCTTCTTCCAAGAATTCTGGTGATTTCTTTAAGTTCTTGGTGTATCTCCCGCATTTCGGCCTTTAATTCCTCCATCATTGTTTCCAGCGAATCCAGCCTTCCCTCCACAACATTCATTCTTGCTTCCATAACGCTCCTTTCTCCAAGGATCCGGCAGGTCAGACCAATTTGATAGATTTCTTTGGTAAAGAAATCAATCTATCACTCAAAACAGCACACACACCAGAATACTGGAAAATAAGAGTGTATTATTCTTGTGATCAAAGAATACAAAAGTACAGTTCAAACTCTCAAGGGAACACTTTCCCTCCACAGGAAACAACTCCTGTCTATACAATGAATTTACCAAAAGCTCCCCTAACACAAGACCTCCCTGCCTTCTTATAAAAGCCCTCCAACCAACTAACCAACTAACAATTAATTCCTAATCTGTTTCCTTCTCTCCTGCCCACGTTATATCCTATCACCTAATATCCTATCAACATAGCTCCTAAATTGTAGGGAATAGAAATAAAGGGCATCATACATATTATCTAACACTAATAGTAATATCAAATACTATAAATGCTAATGCAAGCGCAAGTCCTCTAACAATAAGGACGGATAACTTTAAATGTTTTCTAACAATTTCATCAGGGTTCAACCACTTAACATAACTATGCAGGAATTGAAAGCAGCAAAATCAAAAGATTCCCAAGAAAATATTCATGCGAAAAAGGGAAACTGAAAACCATATCAAAAAGCTTAAATAATTTCTTCACAAAAACTTAAAAACAGAAATAATCTTAGCTTAGAATTACCGGATCATGGGTCTCCAAATATCTATGCGATAGAAAGGTGGCAACATCATACCTAACAATAAGAAGACGACCCTATGTCAGGCCCATCAATGAAAAACCTTTAACTACGTAGAGAATAAAGAATTATGTTAGTCATAGCAATCACATTAATTGCATTCTCATAACCTGTGTGTAACAATCAAATTCTCTAAAATAAGGAAATAAAAATATGCTGAAATCATTAGGAAGAGTTTAACAATAATTTTTCCTAATCAATATGGATATATTGAAGATATTTTCATCCTAATAATTTGTTATTTACAGCATTCCCCCTCAAATTGGTAATTGGATATGAATGTTTCTCAACTTGTCTACAACATCTTGAAATCTTCCTTAAAGAAGCCCCTCAATGAAAATGTCCAAAATCTAAAGTCCTGTTAGGACATGGGTTGAAACCACAAGACCTCTGTCTAGAATATCTTTGATGAAGCGTTTCAATTTCAATATAATTTTGTCCTATTATGATGCACAAGATTATGAACAAAGTTCATGCTAGACTTGATATCATGGCACAATTGCATAGGGATATCTACCTATTTTAAGGTCATCTAGTATGATTTTCACTTGAAGTCCTTCACACATACTTTGTTCCTTCCTCTGTGAGTTTCAAATCATAGATAAATCTCCATGTACACTTGTTGTCCTAAAGCTCTGTTAAAAAAGACATCATCATATCTAACTGGTGCAATTCCCAACTAAAATGAGTAGCAAAAGAAAGGACAGTTTGAATTGTATTCATCTTAGTGACTAGAGCAAATATTTCCTCAGTCAGTTTTGAAGATTCGAGTGTATCCCTTTATTGCGAATCTAGCTTTATATTGGCCTATTGTCCCATTTATCCTATATTTCGCTATAAGCATTCATCTACACCATGTAGCCCTTTTGTCTCATAGCTTGTCAACAATCTTCCATGTTGAGTTTTTTTCACTAATACATTCATTCCTCTCTCTGCCCGAGTCCAATGTTCACTTTCAGGAGGTCTCAACAATCCTACCTGTGGCTACGATGATGAGTGGACTTCATAACAGCTAGGCACGTGGAAACTTCAATAGCGACTCAATTGTCGGCATTGTCATCATGAGTGCGGTGCACACCCTTTTGGTGCACCATTGACCTCAGGCAGTGATAGCAGGGTGCAGTGGTGCCAGCTGCTTACATGGCAACGGAAACAACATTTCAAGATTGGGAACTTAGATACCAACTTGAACTACGTAGGAAAATAAAGAACTATCTTATTGATAATAATTCCACCAATTACATTCTCATCACCTCCATTTGTAACAATGAAACTCCCTAAAATAAAGAAATAAAAATATATTGAAATGAATAAGAAGATTCTAGAGATATTTTTTCATAATCAATATCACCTCAAGAAGGATATTTTTATACTAATAATGTTATTCAAAAAATAAATAATTAAGAAAATAAACTACAAAGATTCTTAAGATTATTAAAGAGGAAATATTGACCATGCTCCATCCCTTCCAGATTTAGCTTCGAATTCCATAACAGGATTTTCTGGAGTTGCTTTTACTGCTGGCAAAACTGGGTACAACAAAATGAAGGCAATGTAAGTAAACAAAATAACTCACCCAGATATATATGTACAAAAGTGAACACACAGAGTAATAAATCATCTAATAAATCAGTTACAGACTACCACTATCACACTGATGGAATCCTGACAAAACACTAATGGGTGTTCAGAGTAAAACGCTTCTTTAATAGACATTGTATAAATGGATTAAAACAGTGTATTCAACCTATATAGCTGTGCTTCTTATTAATGTGTGTGTATATGTGTGTGTGTGTGTGTAGATAGATAGATAGATGCAACTTACAAAAATAAGGCGAGGCACTTACTGTTGTAATTAGAGAAAAAATTTCCTCATTAGAGAAAATAATAATAATAGCCAACATATTCTTCTTCAAACAATGGTACAAATATAAGTGAAAACATTTATTTTCTTCTCATCGTCAGATATATTTATTATATGAAGCTCCTAGTCCTATGATATCAATTTGGTTATGTTCACTATATTTTCATTATCCAGCAAGTTGAACCAACTGTGAGGATTTTTGTGATGAAATAAATAGAAAAAGTTATGTGCACCCCTCGTTCTTCTTTGATTTCGAAAACAAAAAACAAGTACACAAAGGATATTCCTCCTTTCACACTGGAATCTGTCTAGTTTCGTAAGTAACAAAGAAAAAAAATGCCCTCTCTTCTGAAACAGAAGTCCTACTTATAAAAGGTTGGGGAACCATCTTCTGTGATAAACTAACATCCAGCCACAGCCCCTAAAACAGACACTAAGACAAAACAGAAATTCCTAACTAACAGGACATTAGGTAGAATAGGATTAAGTAAATCCTATTTTTCCTCTTCTCCAATAATTCATTTTGAAAGATTTAACTGTATTCAATGGTTCCTGATATCTAACACAGTACTCTAAATGCTCTACAAAAAGTTTAGTGTGCATAACAATGACTTCATAAGGGTTGGGATAGAAAGTTCTAACGGGAAACATAATGCAACAAAAGATATATAAATATAGCCCTTCAAGTGAACATCGCACAAACTAAAAAGTTACGAAAAGCAGCATAAACAAACTTTAGATAAATTAGAGATCCAACAATACAACACTCATTTGGTATATGAATTTCAGAAAGAAATTAAAACAACATAAAGTATGCAGGATTAACAAATAACCATGACTACAGATTCAAGCAAAGTAAAAAAAATTAAGCAATCTAAAGCAGCAATATTCTACCTGCTGTAACAGAAGCAGTAGGAATCGGAGCAGCTGTTGGTTGTTGAGGCATAGTCCTTACCGGGGTTGCATCATCCCGAGGCATAGGAGTAATATTTAACTTTCCAGGAGTCTTACTTGATTTTGCTCTTATTGCATACCGCTTATTTTGAAACCAATTCCAAACCTATACTGAAGTGGAAAACTAAGAAAACAATGGTGCAAAATTCCAATTTCAAATAAAATATAGCACTCATATCATACTTGTTTCATTTGCACTGTAATCTTGCCTTTACGTTCTGGTGATTCACTGAAAGAAAGCATAATTTTAGTCACTTTTCAGGAGCAAACTAAATATTACTAAGTCTAGTACTCATTAAAATATTTAATAATAGCATGGGCAGTAAGGCCAAGAGGCACACCTGAACTTCTCTGCAAGAGCAGTGAGAATTTCGCGTGCTGGCATTGCATTCTCATGTTCATGAAGAATAACTTCCATTTCTCCTACCTATACAAAGAAACAATAGTTTTTGTCAGCACTCTGGAAAATCTCAGTTGATAGAATCTTCAAATGTGTGCTTCGAATAACATGATTCATCACATGATTGGACTAATTGTGGCGCCTTTTTTTTAAACTTGAACAGCTCAAACTCCAATTGAACTCAAAGCTTATGTCTTGGTCAGCTGAGTTCAACTTGGCTTTGTGTTGTTCCAACCAAAAAACAAGCATGCCCTTGGTTGGTTCATATCATGCGATAAATCACATTCATGCGCAATACATCGATTCATCAGTGAAATTATGCACCACTCATACTAATCATACAATTCAACCATTTGTATTCTTTTCTCTTATCTACTTTTCTTCCACTTACTCTCACACAAAGAAACTGATGACTAAGATAAGCTCAACTTGTGAAATGGAGAAGAACTAAAGGAACACTATTAAACACTATTTAACGCCCCGACTTTCCTTTTATTCTTTTGAAGCAATGGCTTCAGAAACCTGGCAATGATTTATGATTTTGCTTTACCAGGTTTGCAGTTTTGTCAATTTCTACTTAGTTTAAATTTATAACATTGAACACGACTCATCATGCATTTAGGAGGAAAAAGCTTCACAAAACAACAAAAATGGCCTTTTTTTTGGTAGCACAAAGTCAACACTTGTCGTCTAATCCAAATCCTAAGATAGGGAACAAAATTTATTCAAGGGCAGTGAGTTTTGCACATCACATCAACTTCCCACCACTTGCACAAAAAGATGTACAGGAGGTCTAAAAACCTTATGCAAATACCATTTACCCTAATTCATTGTCAAATGTCAGAGCCCTAACTTTATGCATGCATTTTCAGTACCCAGGCTTGTTTATCACCCCCAACACAAACGAAGCATCCACCATTCAGAAACCAAATGCCACACACACATGGTTAGCAATAGCGAATGACAAATAATCAATCCAGTGGCATAATCGAGAGCACCAAGATGAGGCAGTTGTGAAGGAGAGCAGTTGGCTAATTTAATACAGCACGATTAAAATTTTAGCATAAAAACAAATACCCAATGTAGAAAATCACGAGATAATAGAGAAAAACAAGAAAATAATATGTGAAGTTGAAATTTTGATGAATACCTCAGTCGGATTGAAGCGAAAGGCTGGGCCACCATTACTGGGTGGGCGACCCATGATCAAAGAAAGCCCAAGAAAGAAGCACACAGATAGATATTTTGTGTTGTGAAGAGAAAAGGGAAACTTGGATTCAGAAGAAGTTTAAAGTTGAGAACTTTAATTTGCGAAGAGAAGAAAGCAGAGAAATAGAGAGCAGAGGCAGGTGACAGGTACGATGTTGGTGATGTATATATAGCTCGCCCGCGTGATTCTCATCCTCATTACATTTTATTGTATTATAATAATAATAACTAGCAGACACTCTGTCTCAATGTTAATTCACGTTATAATATTTCATAATTAATATATATATATATATATATATACATATTTATTTTTTTATTTTATATAATTCCATTTGTTATATACTATGTATTATATATTATTTATTATTTATTACAAATTATTCTGAAGTTATGTCATGAAAAAAATTTCATTATATACTATATATTATTTATTATTATTACAAATTATTCTGAAATTATATTTTATAATTAATATATATACATATATTTTTTACTTTATATAATTCCACTTATTATATACTATGTATTATCTATTATTTATTTATTATTACAAATTATTCTGAAGTTATGTCATGACCAAAATTTAATTTTATAGTCAGATATATTTTAAATATGCATATATGTTTCTGTCTGCAGTATGGGTACAGCTACCTTTTATTATGTCTGCAAATATGGATCAGTTTTTTCTTCTTCTTTTCTTTGTTATACTTTTTTTTGTATAATTTTTTTCACAGAACAATTTAAAAGTATAACGATAACATATTATGAAACATAAATTACAAAATAATATGTATATATAAATAGAAGAATATCTATTAATATATTATTAGGTACAGTAAGAATAATATTAATAAGAATAGTAGCGCTAATAATAATAATAATATTTTCTTTCTCGACTAGATGTGACGATGAATAATAAAAGTTGGATAAGGGATGAAAGTAACTTGGAGTTTGATTAGGTGGAATTTGTTAAGCACATTTGTTATCGGAGGCAAGTCTACGTGTCTAGTAACAAGTCATTTAATGTGTTGATAAAATAAAAGTTATCTAAAAATTTTATGATAACAAACCTTTTCGGTGGGTCGTTGACAATTACTCAAATCTCGTTGGTCTAATGGTACAGTTTGTCTTTTGCTTCATTTGGTCATATTAGGAGTTTAATTGCGTAAACCACTTTGATATTGATATCAAAATTAGTAGAGATTCAACAATTTTAATAATAAATACGTATTAAATATAATCAATCTATTGCAATATCTTAAACTTTCGGAAACAATGATCGTGTTTTACCTTAAGTTAATCATCATCAATCCTAAATATTATTTAAGGCTAATTGTTCGGATCATGTTACCAAACTGGTCGATTGACCAGATGTTCTTGACTTGGACAGCATGTTCGTTTGGGCATTCTCCTCGCGGGATATGCCTGATATCTACCTTTTTTAAGCTACCTATCAGTGTTGAAGTTTTGTGAAAGTATTAGAGGAGTTGATCGTCCTTTATCTAGAACTCCTTGTTCATTTACCCAACCACAAGCTGTGAATCTGTTCAAAATTTCACCCTCCGAGCTCCTAGATCCCTTAAAAGGGATAGACCTGCCACCATTGCCTCATACTTAGCCTGATTGTTGGACACTATAAACTTGAACACTAGAGAGTGTTCAATCACAATGTTGCTTGGTTCTTCTAAAACAATCTCAGCTCCTCCACCTGTTTTATCTAAAGACCCATCTACAAACAACTTCCAAACATGGTTGGGCTTCTTCATTTTGGGAGAGCTTCGCAACAAAATTCGTCGAATGTTACATTGCACCAAACTACGTGACTCATATTGAAGGTCAAACTCTGACAACTCCACTTACTAGCCAATCCTTCTTCCTGCAAGATATGGCTTCCTCATAATCTTGGCGACGGGGTGATCGGTTCAGATGACCACCTGATGACTTTGAAAGTAGGGTCTTAGTCGACGGGCGAGCATGAGTAGACCAAGGCCACCTTATCGATCTATTGATAATGTATCTCTGGGTCCTGCAAAACATGACTTATGAAACAAATCAGTTTTAGCTCCAGAGCATCCTAGACGAGGGTCGCACTGATCGCTCCTTCAAACACGACCAGGTAGAGTTGTAGTTCTTTGCCTAAGGTCGATCGAGCCATGACGGATGGACTAGCTAAGATAATTATGGCTTTACACTACTCGTCGCACTTGACGATAGTATTCTTTTTCATGACTTTCAAGATTGATCGTGTCCTCTCAACCAACTTAGGGATGAATCGGGATAAGGAAGTTAGATGACCAACAAGTCGATGCACCTCCTTCAAGTTTTAAGGGCTTTTCATCTCCAAGATCGTTAGGCACTTATCAGGGTTGGCTTCAATGTCCCGTGCGGTGAACATGAAACCCAAGAACTTGCATGCACACACTCCGAACGTGCACTTTATGGGGTTCAAATGCAACACATATCATCTAATCTAGTCAAAGACATCCTCCAAGTCTTTAATGTGGTCCTCTACCAACTGTCTTCAGACCACCATATCTTCCATGTAGACGTCCATGCATCTTCCTATTTGATGGTGAAAAAGTTTATCCATAAGTCGTTGGTATGTCACTCCCGCATTCTTCAAGCCAAAGGGATCACATCATAGAAATAATTGCCTCACTCGGTGATGAAGGTTGTCTTCTCGTGATCGGAAGGGTACATCGGTATCTGGCGGTAACTAGAATACACGTCCAAAAAAATTAAGATTTGGTGGCTTGAAGTACCATCCACGTAAACTTGGGTGTCCACCTATTTACCAACAAAGCCAATGATCTGCTCATTGTAGGGAATTATGAAATCCTTTGACAAATCCATTTTCTAGAAGGTCTTCCAATAAAGGATGTTGACAATGCTGCCTTGATCGATCAAGACTTTGCTCACGTCATACCGTGCGATTTTAGCAGTGATGACCATGGGGTCAAACTGATCAAGATCTGGTGCCTGGAAGTCCTCATTTGTGAACGTGATGAGTGACATGGACTTCAATTTGCAATCTACAATGTGGACGGTCTTAAGGCTTCGTAGATGCCTCTTTTGCGTTAATGAGGAGGACCTGTTGCATGTGAATCCTTTTAATATGGTGTTTATTTGATCGTGCAAGGGGCGTCACAACTCCTGCTTTTGCTCTAACTCCAGCTTTTGCTTCGACTCCAGCTTCTACTCCTTTGTCGGTTATCTCTTCAACGGTCATTGTGTCGTGGACGCCTCTTGGGGCTTCGGCTTCGAGGGGGAACTCCTCTCAAGCCGATCATTCTTCACGTAACGTTGGAGGTGAACCGTATGGATTAACTCATTTATCTTGTCACAAAGGGTGGAGTACTCCTCCGTGGTATGTCCCAGGTTTTGGTTATACCGATAGTGATTCTTACCATTGGCATTTTTAAGGGTCAGTTTCTTCTTTATTGGAGGGAGGAAGTTTACACTCAACGCCTCCTCCAAGATCCTCACCCTTGGTGTTCAAGGGTGTATATTGATGAAACTTTGGTCCTCGAAGAATATCCTTCGATCGGAAGTTGTTACCTTTATCACCACCGCCCATCGTCTTCTTCCCATCCATCTACTCGTCATTTGCCACTACGACCTCCTACTGCTGCTTTTTTCAGAAGACACATATGTCTTTTTTACGCATGAATTTAATTGCTCGCTCCTATAGATCCATGGTTTTAAGCGGCCTAGCATATAGGTTATCCGTGAATGGTCTCGCTCTCAAGGCTATTGAGAGGTTGTTAAAGATGAACTTCAAGTTTACATCCTTCAACTGTTGGGTGATCTTGTTGCAATCGTCCATGAAGGCTCTTAGGGACTCATCCTTCTCTTGCTTGGTGTTGACCAACGCAAGATGTATTAAACTCTGGACCTAGTTGGGTACGTACTATCGACTGAACAGGTTACAGATAGTGGAGAAGTTATCCACTATGTTGGGTGGCAGAGTGTTACACCATGCCAACGCCTCCCCCTTTAGAGATAAGGAGAAGACCCTACATCATACAGGGTCACTCGCCGAGTAGAACGTCGTGGTGTTTATGAACGATTGTAGATGCTCGTCAGGGTTAGTTGACCCATTATACTTATCGAACGAGGGAGACATCCACCGCTCGGGCATGGGTGCCTCCATGATAACAACTGTAAAAGGTAATAGACCCTCCATCTGCACCATTTACATTGCCAGAGCTTCCTTGCTCGCCCCTATCCTCGCCTCCTAGACCGTCTTAGTCGGTCCCTTAGCCTGTTTGTTAACATTTGAAAGGCCAGCCTCGCTCGATACAAAATGTTGGGCGGTTTACTTTTGACGCACGGTTCCACTCCTAACCCTCAACACCTTTTTCTCAACTCCATGTCTTCTTTGTGTCTCCTACATTTGCTTTTGCTTCTCCTTGATCAGCTCTAAGGGGTCTTTTTGATCGCTTGTCTCTCTTGTTGGGCCCATGTTCCTTGTGGTCACCATTGGATTTTCTTCAACTTCCTAAAGCTTCACTGAGAGCGCCAAAATGTTTCGTTTGTGGGGTCGAGGTTGACCATCTTCCAAACTTCGTGTCCAACACTTTACAATGGTTACCGTTCGTCCTTCGCTATGTTCGGTCGTACTAGGAGTTTACCTGTAAAAGACACTCTGATGTCAAAGTCAACGAAGTTTAGGCAATCTTAGCAATAAATGTATATTAAATGTAACTGACCTACTACAATATCTCAAACATGTAATTATAAATATCGAAATGGACTTCAAATTAGTAATAGTCTAATTATGGCCCAACTAGTAATGATCATGCTTTAGCTTAAGTTAATCATCATCAATCCTAAATGTTGTTTAAGGCTGACAGCTCGGTTCATGTTGCACCAGATGTTCTTGACTGACGAGATTGTTCGGTCCTAAGCTGATTGGACGGTCATACAATACACAAACAATACTAGATTTTTGTTTATCTAATAAGTTTGTTAAATGAGAATCATATTAACTCAAGTTAATAAAGAATAGATGTAGTTTATCATTTGTCATACAATCAAAGTCTATAATAATACAAGTGGAAAAGCATTAGAAGACTAATGAAGAAACAATATACATATAACAATTTAGATGATTATGAGGTAGCTTCAATGCTAAATTTGATACCAACAAAG